CGAAAAAAAACACGCCATACACGTCCGGCAATCCTGCGTGCCGACGTTCAAATTCTCCCCAAAAAGGCAGCCCCACATTAGGACAGGTCTGACCGTTGTTCGGTGTTCGTCATAGAAATCCCTCTTCTGTTTATTGTCGGCATTTAGTGTTCAGGCGTACAACGCAATACCTGTATTGCTAACGTCAACACGAAGACGCACAAATACCGTTCTTGGTGATGCCTGTTTACGGCGCAGTGCTGTAGCCTTGGTCTGGTCACAGTTATCGACTGCAACACCAAAGTTGCCAGCAACGTTTCTGTTGCAGCCTCAGGCATCCCAGTGCTGTATGACCTCGCAAACACACCTCCGAGGGGCAGGGACGTTTCGTTTCATGACGTTTCAGTTTCGTCCGTCACAGAGGACAGTGACTATTGTTGTGCTACATAAGTTGCAGCAATGATCTGGACATAAATTCGTTTGTAGTGAACACCTTCCTACCTTTTTATGCCCATTATTTTTCGATTTGGTTGGGCCTGACTTGAAGAATATGCTGCGTTAGACTGTCTTCGATGTTCTGAAACTAAACGTCTAATGAACAACAATCTCTGAGGCTCTAGACACTGATTTAAAGACATTTATGACACCGGTTCGTGATCCTGCGAACTGTGAATCGAGCTAAAATAACAAGTGATAAATAACAAATAATAAGTAAAATGACGATTTCTAAAGAGTGCGTTTTGTGTTTATGTCGAGGAAGCCAAACGTTGGATTAAAACCGAAGTACCTTCTGTTCTGCTACTAGAAAAATGTTTACCATGTTCGAGCATGAGAGAAGTAATTACTTTCTTCCAAACGAACCTCTCATATCTTCCACCTTGCATACTGGCTGAGATCCATCCGCTTCCCTTGTAGTGGGCGTCGTAACACAAGTTCAGACTCGCGATTGAAGAATTTTCATCATATGGAAGTTAGGGGTTTTATTAGACTTTGGACTCCCTAGACCTTGGCATTGTCCTCAAATATGTCCGCAGTGCAGAATTGGCAGGATAAACATGTTTTCGCCTTCATGTTTTTCAGGTTCCATTGTCCTCATCGAAATGTGCCACATTTTACTGAATAGTTGGTTTTCCATCCCTCGACCCTATGTATCTTTCTTATTCGCTAGATAAGTCTGCATAATTTGCAAATACTCTTTACTAACGGTCTCTTCACTATCTGCATGGACGACCCCCTGTATAACCAGCGCATGGACTAAGGGCTGTCCACATTTTCTCTAAATCCATTTTTTACTAACACCTTTTAAAATAGTGCTCCTAGAAGAGCGGAGCATCGCATTGTATATTCCAGTTAGCGGATACTTGCGAAGAAATACCCCGTGCCCGTACGAGTACCTAGTTCAGTCTTATCAGAAGGAAAATGCTCTTGTTGAAGTAAGAAATTTAGTAGTCTCATCTTTTTGATTCTTCAGCGCATAGTCAGGGGCAGTCTCTGTATAAAGGCCAAACGGCTAGACGCTGGTGTTGTTGAGCCATCAGTTCCTTTCATGGACTGTCAAACTAACCGGCTGAGTAAACAAACGTTCTCCACCGCAGGGCGAACTTCCTCTTAAATACACCTGTATGGGGTCCATCAGAACCCCTTTAAAGCCACAGAAAATGCGACGTTGCCATAGCATCTTCCCAACGCTCCGGTTTTACGTTATATTTTTTTTTT